ATTCCTGCAGAGATGTTTGAATATTAGCGTAAACTCAGCAAAAGCCCATGAGTAAAATATAATGCAATTTGAATGAGCAAGTTTGCTCTAAGTTATAAAACAAAAAGCTAATATTACAACTTACATGAACTGCAGAAAATGTTTGTTTTCCATACTTTAGTCATCGTTAAGGGCAGAAATAAAATTATTTACTATCAAATAGTCAGAGCATATGGAAAAAAGGTCCTTTGTGTATTCTCCACTTAAAATTAACTTGCCTTTGCAATTGTAGGAAAGGCTTGAATAGTATTACCTTCTCCAATTATTAAGCCTCAAGGAATAAACTCAAACTAGAGATGCTAAATTTGTATATTCTGTTTCATCCTTTAAAAACACACAGCTGTTTCATTTAGTGGCAGATAAGCTCAACTACAACTGACCAAAATGAATTTGTGCCAGTGTCAATACAAAACATTTTTTAAAGTACTATGAATTATTCACTATTCTCTCAAACTTCAGTATGAACACAGATTTGTTCTCATCATATTCTTCTTTTTTTAGAATCTCAGCCAGAACCATTCTACAATACAGAGCAGCATGAGCCCGAGCCAGCACCTAAGCCATTCAGTGCTTTGGAGCCCTACAAAAAGTAGCATTAGCACAAGCCCACCCTATAATGCGGAACAGCTTCGGAGCCCATTGGAGAAGTCAGGGCAGGCCTTCATCACCAAATCAATCTTGTGTAGGGATAAATCCTCCTAAAAGGTGGGTACATGACTGCTCAGAGTAGCATCGCAGAACCTCAGAAAGGTAAAACGGGCACAGTACAAATACTGGATAACAGCATTCATAAACCACCAACAGTTGGATAGCTTTCCTTTTCTTTAACATCAGAATACTGAACCACTGATGCAAACAGTGGTTTGCACAGTAAGCACAGAAAGATTCCTCAAAACTCTGCATCTGAAGGAAAGATCAATCATCTTTTCACTATCTATATTCAGGGTATTTTGTCCTTTAAAAGCCTATAACATACCGTCAAAGCCAAAACCATTTATCACAGTTAAACTACCACATGGAAAATACAAACATTTAACCTAATTTTATGACTCTGCCTACTGAAGATACAAACCTCTTCTTTAGATATAGCATTAAAGCCCAGTTTGGATTATCACAATATTAAGACCTGCAACTCTTGAATTCTAATACAAGAAGAATTAAGCGCCTATTAGAAAGTACTGAGAATAGGAAGCATGAAACAGCCAGACGCTGCAAAAATAGCAAAATATACTCCCAAAAGCATGCATAAATTTACTGCAGGTTTATCAAATATATTCACTAAGAGCTAGATTAAATGGCAGATTAGTTACACTGTTTAAGGCTCTAGTACATTTTGTACAAGTTTAGCCATCATGCACTCTGTACATTGACAGGACGACCTCTGTACCATCATAGTGCCCGAAATTCAGCACCATGTTTCTCTTGATTGATTTCCTTTTTTGCAGCAGACACAAACATCCATGCGCTACAAAAGCATTACCAAGAAATACTAAATCAGGTGTACTTGCAGAACTTAAGCCCAGACCAAGTAACATTTCAATAATTACTTTTCATAAACAATATTCAAGTGTGCCACTGTGTCATAACTACTATTGAAATGTGAGTTCACTCCAGATAAAGCTGAGCAAAAAGGAGCTCTAGTAAAGATTATTCTCTTAATTTGTATGTTGTGGAACAGCAAGCACTGTCATCTTTAGATTTTCTTTTTAATCCCATATTCACAATCTTTTCTTGAAAAATGTATTCTTGTATTTTCACCAAAATTTCTTCAAATCATAGCTTTGCACAAAGTATAATAAATTGCTGAAGAGTATCTTCTCATTATATATGCAAAATAAATGCACGTTTACCTCAAAATAACAGTCAAAACATCCAAAATAGTAATACTCATAAGTACTAATTGATCCATCAAAAATATATTATTCAACTACCAAGCACCACACTCCACTTCTGGCTTTGTTTGGTATAATAGAATAATACTAAACTGACTTCTGGAAAATATGTTGGATTTTTGGTCTTCATTTCTCCAAGACAGAGCTTAATAATATTCCTAGCATCTCTTCAGCAGTACACTGTGCAGGTCAATTAGCTGGAACAGCTTATTCAATGTCGTTTCACAAATAAAATCAGTAACAGAAAACCCACAACTTCAATCTAGAGCTTTGGAATAGGGCAGGAATCACTAATAATTTCTCTTATTTCCTACACTGAAAATTTGAGGAACGTTTTAAAAGTCTTATATTGTTACATTCATATCAAGGTTGAACATGAGTGTTTACTAAAAACAGTTGTAAGACTTCTAAAAAAGCATTCCTTTAACAAATTAGAAAATTAGCTTACTGACAGTTTATTAATTTCAAATATAACCCGAGTCTGCAGAATTGTTCAATGTGCAGTGAAAATAGTACTGTTATGTGAACATTTCTAGTGGAACGCTATAGTATAACTGAAGCTAGAGACATTACTCTTTCGGTCAATGCATAATGTTCTTAAAAGCTTAAAGCAACTTGCTGCAAGCTTAACATTCAATTGATAATGCTTGTGTGTACATTTATGCTTTTTTATAGAATACATTTTGGTTTTAAAACACCTTTGTATTTACATGTTTCTATATTCCCCCCACCCCGCCACGAACTCACATTTTGTGCATTACACATGATCAGGGCCTTTTAAAACTAAGGATTGCTGCTTTTACAATATTAGAATCTTCCTGAATCGACCACTGGGAATTACTAAAATGACTAACAGAAGAACGTTTACATACAGCATTTACCATAGCTGCCCTAACTAGATTTGGTACCTCATTCACACAATGAAGACTCATTTTTCCTTGACATGCTATGACCAAGTATCACACTTCCTTACTAAGAAAGTTCTTAGTTCTCACTAAGAAAAGACAGAAAACCCACCATTCACACTATTTTACTTCTCGTTTCAGCCAACAATTGCTGCAAAAAACGCTGGAAAACAGATTGGTACAAAGAGAAAACAATTCTGTATATTAAGCTAATATTTTCTGTAATGAGTTATGCTATTCTTTTCACAGGAAGTAGTTTAAATAGAATTTATCATACAATATGCATTGTAAAGAACTTTCTGCTAGAGAATTTTAGAAGTAAGTGACTCTCAGCTTATTTTCATAATGAACATTTTTTCCTAGTAGAATTTCTGGTATTCTACAGATAGAAGCCCCTAGATTCAAATCTCCAAAAAGTTACTGCACAATATTGTCATTAAACAATGCAACAAAAGTTGCAAGGTCAGACTTTATCAGCCTTACCGCCAATGCTTTAGATAACTTTGTTCTGTAGTTATTCAAAACAATTGCATCGATGTCCTTAAGTGGCACATATGCGAAGCCATCCTTGATAAACACTCTTCTGGCTCTAAATAGCCACAGTCTACGGAAGGCCAAACGGGAGGAGGGGGGGGGGGGGGAGGGGGGCAAAACAACACCCAAAACAAAGCACCACTATGGATTAGCAAATAAGTACACTGAGAATGTTTACAATCCTAAAATTCAAGCTGAGACCTTTTAAGTCATTTTGTGTTTTTTAACAGAGTTCCAGGCAAAAAGCAAAACTTCTGAAAGCAAATGATGACTTTGAAAGAGCTGATTATTTTGGTGGGAAAAATATTATTGCTTACAGAAAGCCACACAAATCAGCAAAATAAGGTACTTCACAATTTGTATCTATGACCATTAACCTGATTATGCAATCTTGGATCCATGATTTGGTATTTGAAAATGGACTTCTGCTGGCCTTCTGTTTCACTGATCTTGCATGTATCATGTATCTTCCCTGTATCTTGAAATATTTGATTCAGGTAAAATACATACAACAGTCCTTAGAAATGGATCTAGAACCCAACTACCTGCACTTAGAGAAGAACTGGTGGATTAAATTAGATGCTTGTTGCCTCTCTTCTTGCTTTCTTGCAGAAAAAAGCTAAGAACAGTTCAATCAGACGAGACTTAGTTTTAGCAACAGATGTTTCACTCCATCCGAAACAGTCTGTCAGCCAGGGAAGTTAGATCATCTGTCTAGGAAGTGTTAACAATTAGGACCTTCTTTTGTGGTAAGTGATGGGGTGGCAGAAGAGGGCAGAGGACATGAATGATACTTTAAAACCTCCTTTATCCTTACCAGCCCCTCCTTTCACCCTCATACTGCTATGAAAACCAGGAACGCCCACTAGTCTTAATTAATTCTGATATTTTGATCAACTGCTAATAACGGAACTAAGTAACTTAACATCAGTAACTTCCAGTTTTAAAGAGAGAATGAACACAAACCTGAAATTTCCAATTTCTACTTACCTTATAGAACATTTGTTCTTTTACTTTATTCATATTGAGGCCAGGGGTTGATGCACACAGATCATTTGCCCATTCATTTTTCAGGTCTTCACTCATCTGTAAGTAAGAGGTCGTGCTTTAAAACTGCAGGAATACTTCAGAACAAAGGGGATGAGGGTGGCTGATGAGCTAAAAGCTTTCTTGATTTTTATCAACACTTTAGTTAGCACAACAAACTAAGTGACTACTTATTCCACAAGTGATCACTAAAAATTAAGCATAATAATAGTAGTGCAGATATAAAAACATAACATTTTAAAGGACTAATACAAGAACTATAAAGCATGTTCTTTAAAAAAACTCTTTAAAATGAGTTACAGCAAGCTCTGCGCCTGTCCTAACTCAGTGGCAATAAATAAGCAGGGAGTTAAACACAGTCGGATTTTAACCAAAAAGTTTGCTTCAGCTAATTTTTAAAGCCAAACTTTAAAAGATGATGCATGTTCATGGAACTTGGGAGCAGGGGGAACCGTGAGCTATTTAGTGTTCTCCAAACATTGGAGACAGGTAAGTTAAGCAGCAACGCTCTAATTTAACTTTTTACATTTCAAGTATCTCAATCAAAATTTCTAGCTTGAAGAAGTCAGGAACAATGCTACATTCCCTAATCCTTAAAATTATATATATGTATGCATATATATGTGTATATATACACACATACAGCATACATATAAATGCTTTGCAGCTGCTTAATAATGCAGATTTTAGTTATCACCAGATATAACAGAAAAGCTGTATTTAAAATTAGCATATTTTAATAATTTTACCAACCAATGAATCATTTTGGGGCTTTGTTGAACAGAGAAGGATTAAGATCAAAATCTGAAATCAAAGTGCTCTGTTTTAACTCCTGATTAATCTCAGGTTTTAAATCCTGAAAAAAATAAGTCGTAAACGAAAACTAAGAATCATTGATAAAATCGTGAATAAATCATCCACTCTGAAAAATAAAACACATGCTGGTAATCCAGTGATTAGACCTAACAACTTAACTATATGCAACAGTTAAACCTTAACACAGTGAGTTCTTCACAGAATCACAGAATCGTTTAGGTTGGAAGGGACCTCTGGAGATCATCTAGTCCAACCTCCCTGCTCAGGCAGGGTCCTCTACAGCATACTGCCCAGGATCACATCCAGACGGCTTTTGAATATCTCCAGGGACGGAGACTCCACCACCTCTCTGGGCAACCTGGTCCAATGCTCTGTCACCCTCACAGTGAAGAAGTTTTTTCTCAGGTTCAGATGGAACCGCCTGTGGTTCAGTTTCTGCCCATTGCCTCT